AAACTATTTGTTCTGTAAGCCTTCACCTGAAGTACAATAAAAAAAAAAAAAAAAAAAGAACTCAACCCACAATCTGCAGCGACCAGTCCAGGATGCCAAACCACAACCTCTGTAGCAATAGCCCCCAAGTGGCCAAGATTTGATCCATCGCTGACAGCTTCCCTAATTTTTGTCCATGCTTCCACCTTAGGACCAACCAGAGAAAGCCAGATATGCTCCCTAATCAATCACATAGGCTGCCCCGCTTCTAGCTAGCCAGCCTCCAGCTTCCCTATGCCAACAGCCTCCCATCAGGACACACCTGGAAGCTTCCCTTTGTCTGTTATCCAGCTTTCCAGCTTCTCTTCCTGACTTTGAGTCCCTGCCAAACGCAAGTGGTGGTGGCAGACTCTCTTGTTACATCAGACTCTGAATAAATAGCCTTTGTTTGTTCTCTTTGGAGCCTTGGTGGCACAGTGGTTAAGATCTCAGCTGCTAGCCAAAAGGTCGGCCATTCAAATCCACCAGCTGCTCCTTGGAAACCCTGTGGGGCAGTTCTACTCCGTCCTATATGGTCGCTATGAGTTGGAATTGACTCAATGGCAAGGGGTTTGGTTTTTTGGTTTTTTTCTTATTTGCTTAGTCTTCATTTATTTCCACAAATGGTAAATTGCCAAGTTCTGTAGACTCCATCTCTGTAAATACCATACCATGCTGGAAAAGGCTGCACAGGCCTGGCTCACCGCTATTCACTCCCCATTGCTAACCACCACATTGTCTCATGATATGGTTTCTCCAGTCTCTACAAAAGGTTTAAGATTAACCAATGTTCCTCCTTGGAGGGTAGAAAAACAAGTGATAATAATCTAAGGATGAAAACCAAACAAAGCACCCATCCTGTGACAAGAAAATCCAGGTTGTTGCCAGATAACCCCCAAGAATACCAGTAGAAGATTAACTCATCTGAGACATGATCACCTCAAGGGGAAACTAACACAAACTTCTAAGACCCATCATCCTGTCCCTATAAAAGCCTTCAGCTGATCTCCAGTGGGGGAGACGGGTTTTTTGGAGGAATCTCTTCCCCTCTGTCTCCTATGTATCGATATATAATAAACCTCTTGCTGCTCACCTCACCCCGTCTCAGAATTGGCTATTGCGGCAGGCGGCTCCAATCTGCGTTATTGCAGTAACAATGCCACAAGTTACGTGTGTTTTTGTTTGGATCCCCTCTGTGATGGTTAAGGTTATGGGTCAACTTGGCGAGGCCATGACTCTCAGTGGTTTGGCAGATATTATGTAATCATCCTCCATTTTGTGATCTGATGTGAGCAGCCAATCAGTTGAAAGGGGAGTCTCCTTAGGGGTGTGGCCTGCATCCAACATGTGTAGATGTTCTGGCAAAGCTTGCCCTCTCTTGATCTTGCATCCAACTGGTCATCCTCTGACCTCCGGTTCTTGGGAAGTGAGCCAGCAGCCTACTGTCTGACTTGTGGACTTTGGATTCGTCAGCCCCTGCGACCACATGAGTTTCACGTGAAGTCTCCAGCCTGGTGTCTGACTCATGGCTATGGGACTTGCCAGCCTTCACAACTGCAGGAGCCATTTCCTCGAAATAAATCTCTCTCTCTATTTACACATATATGCTTCACTGGTTTTGCTCCTCTGGAGAACCCAGCCTAAGACACCCTCAAACAGGGCCGAAGGCAAGGATTTTGGTGCAGGTATCGAAATTTGCCCAGCCCTTGTCTGTCAGTTTGTTGCACTGTGGGGGCTGGCGTGTTGCTGTGACGCCGGAAGCTCTGCCACCGGTATTTCAAATACCAGCAGGGTCAGCCATGGAGGACAGGTTTCAGCTGAGCTTCCAGACTGAAATAGACTAGAAAGAAAGGCCTGGTGATCTACTTCCAAAAATCAGCCAATGAAAACCTTATGGACAGCAACAGAATATTATCCAATATCGTTATGGATTATGTCCCCCCAAAATATGTGTTGTAAATCCTACCTCCTATACCCGTGGATGTGATCCCGTTTGGGACTAGGGTTTTCTTTGTTAGGAGGCCATGTCAACTTTTAAGCCAATCACCTCTGAGATGTTAAAAAAGCAGATTAGGCACAGAGAAGGAAGCACAAATGGAGGAAGATACATGCCGCAGGAAGATATTCCAGGAACTGAGGAACAGAAGCTGAGAAGAGACAAGGACTTTCTTCCCTAGAGCCGGCTGAGAGAGAGAAAGCCTTTCCCTAGAGTTGGTGCCCTGAATTCAGACTTCTAGCCTATACTGTAAGAAAATAAATTTGTTTGTTAAAGCCGCCTACTTGCGGGATTTGTTACAGTAGCACTAGATAACCAAGACAGATATAGTGCTAAAAGATGACCTCTTAGGTTGGGAGACGCTCAAAATAAACAGTGGCTGCAACAATGGACTTGAGCATACTAACGATCATGAAGACGGCACAGGAGCGGGCGGTGTGTAGTCTTGGCAAGTAACAACAACAATTAAATTCGGAGATGATCCTAGGATGCCCCCCAGGAGTGAGGAACTGGGAAGTGTGAAGCAGAAAGCAAGGACAGGTAACGAAGGATGGACTGTCTAGTTGGTTACTGCTAGGGGGACCTAGAGCCCAATTCCACTGGGGGTCCTCTGCGGAACTGCGGAGAATCACGCTTCTCAAACTTTTGTGAGCACTTGGGCGTGCTATTAATTTGGTTCTGATTCAGCAGCTCTGGGCTGAGCCTTAGGAATCTACTCGGGAAACAAACATCTCAGAGACTGTCATGCAAGGATGTCCATGGATCACACTTTGAGAAACTCTGGAGGGAAATAACGCCCAGAGTCTCTCAACCGGGACTGGAAGAAGAGGTGCACAAAGAGCTCCGCGGGCGGCCGCCAGCAGGCGAAAAGTTTCCACCGCGCCTGCGCTGCCTCTAAGCGCGGACGCGTCCTGCGTTTCCCAGGCGACAAGGCGGGCGGCGCGGCGGGATGACGTTGAGGGCGGGACCGCCGTTCCGGCCCCGCCCACAGGGCCGACGCAGACCGAGTGGGGGTGATCCACGCCATGGGCTCCGCCGGGTTCTCTAGGGTCAGTCGTGCGTCTGACGGGCGTCCGCTGAGCGCCGGCTGTGTTCGCTGAGCCGTGGGAGACGTCCGGAGAACGAGAGCCCGAGGAGGAGCCTGTTACCGCAACGCGGGTCTGAGCCGTTCGCCGCAGAGGCCAATACTGAGACGCGGGTGAGGGGAGCGGCAAGAGTGTTTTATTGTATGTGGATGTACGGGAGACAGAGGGGAATGAGCTCCTCCAGAAGACCTGTCTCCTCTTTGGAGACCCGCTGGAAGTTTTTATATGGACGAGATTGTAGTTTTTTCCCCGTGGTTACGTTCTGCACCTGGCAATCCTTGAAGGTCATCTTGCACAGTTACTATCACCTCACAGATGAGTTGCTTTACCCTCCAAGGTCGTTCTACCTCTCAAACAAAACTTAATTAAACTTTAAAGTCATGGGAAAGCAAGAGGGAGGATAGGAGGAAAACAGATCAAAATCATAGGAGCATGCAAACGTGATCTATGCAAGCTAGGCATTAACAATACCACAGTACCCAGGAAGGTAGGCCTAGACTGCTGGCAGTAAGCAACAAATGTGAAATTCCACGCAGCCCCTTTCAAGCCTGAGGTAGCCGGGGGACGTGGGGCGCGGGGAGTGTGTGCTGGCGGGGCGGGGGCGCGCAGCGAAGCTGGGTGTGCAGCTGGTGCAAAGGCCCGAGGAGTGTGGGCGGAACTGGGCCTCCGCAGGTGCAAAGGCCCCGGGGCACGCAGCGAAGCGGGAGCGCTGCTGCTGGTCCCGCGCCAGCAGGCGCGAAGGGCTGAGGCGAGCAGCGGCGAACTTGCCAGACATTTCGAGGTGCTTGGACTTTGTCTTGAGGTGCCTGGGCAGCTGCTAAGGGGAAAGTGATCAGATCTGCATTTTAGAATCACCTTTACGACCAGAGAGAGGAAAAGTGATTGTAGGTGGCTATTGCTGTATTCACTTTTACTCTGATTATGTTGCCATAAAGGAAACCCTGGTGGTGTAGTGGTTAAGAGTTTGGCTGCTAACCAAAAGGTCAGCAGTTGGAATCCACCAGGCGCCCCTTGGAAACTCTATGGGGCAGTTCTACCCTGTGCTACGGATGAGTCAGAATCGATTTGATGGCAAGGGGTTTAGTTTTGCGCGCCTGGTTGTATCTGTTTGACCTAGGACAAGTTACTGAACTCTTGCCAACTCCGTTTTCTGCGTGTGGAATAAGGGTTGTTAGGCACAGCGGAGACTGTGTCACTGCTTCACGGTTCCCTCTGCCCTCAGTAATTGCTCAACAATTGGAGGGTTTTTTTTTTTTTTTCTTTTAATCATAACTTTAATGGAATCAGAGAGAAACGAAAGGGTCCAGTCAGCATTAAAGAGATGGAATGGGGGCTTGGTGATTAATGCGAGCACGAGGGAGGGGAGAATTCCAGACTGACTGTCAGTTCCCAGCTCGTGTAAGCCTTGAGCCACAGCAATGCGGAATGGAGCCCACAGGAGAGCAGGCTGGGGGACCAGGTGAGTTTAGACTGAACACTCAAGAGTTTGCAGACCTTCACGACTTGGAGGGGGAGGGCGTTATCTTAGTCATCTAGTGCTTCTGTAACAGAAATACCACAAGTGGATGGCTTTAACAAAGAAAAGTTTATTCTTTCACAGTCTAATAGGTTAGAAGTCCAAATTCAGGGCGTCAGCTCCAGGTGAAGGCTTTCTGTGTCATCTCTGGAGGAAGGTCCTTGTCATCAGTCTTCCTTTGTTCTAGGAGCATCTCAGTGCAGGAACCTCAGATCCAAAGGACGCGCTCTGCTCCCAGCACTGCTTTCTTGGTGGTATGAGGTTCCCACGTCTCTCTGCTTGCTTCTGTCTTTTATATCTCAAAAGAGATTGGATTAAGACACTATCTAATCTTATAAACCTCATCAGTATAACTGCTGCTAATCCACCTTATTACATCATAGTGATAGAGTTTACAACATATAAAGAAGTCACATCAGATTACAAAATGTTACACAATCATACAATACTGGGAATCAAGACCCAGCTGAGTTGACAGATATTTTGGGGGGACACAATTCAATCCATGACAGGCACTGTCCAGTAAACTGCCCAAATGGGCATGAGGGTCAGGACTTTGAATTTGGGAGGCATCCACGAATTCACTATGACTGAAGCTAGAGGGCGAATGGATGAGATGGCGCAGCGGAAGTGTGGCCAAGGATGAGAGTCTGGAAGGAGACAGGAGGAGCAGGGAGAGGAGAGTGGGGTGTTCTGGACCACAGAAGGGGGCGCATCGAGGAGTCTCAGGGATTGGAGCTACAGCGGGGATGTCCCACGAGATGGAGTGCTTCCCTCGGATTTTAGAGCTCGTGTTTTTGGACACTTGGTCTCAGCCAAGAGCTGTGCTTTTTTATATTTTTAAACTGATTTACCGAGATAAAATAGTTCACCTACCATACCGTTGGAAACCCTGGTGGCGCCGTGGTCGACAGTTTGGCTGCAAACCAAAAGGTTGGCAGTTCGAATCTATCAGGCGCTCCTTGGAAACCCTATAAGGCAGTTCTCCTCCATCCTATAGGGTTGCTGTGAGTCGGAACCAACTCGACAGCAATGGGTGGGTTTTTTACCAAACCGTTCACGCATTTGAAGTGTACGCTTCAGTGATTTTTAGTATAATCAGAGCTGTGCAACCATCACCACTGTCCAACTCCAGAACGTCTTCATCACGTGAGAAGGAAACTTTGTACCCATCAGCAATCACCCCAGATTTCACCCTCCCCCCAAAATCCCTGGCAACGTCTCATCTATTTCCTATCTTTGTAGCTTTGGCTTTGTGGACATCTCTTATAAATGGAATAATATGTGGTCTTTTGAGACTGGTTTCATTTCCTTAGCAAAATATTTCCAAGGTTCATCCATGTTATAGGAGGCATCAGAACATCATTCCTTTTTATGGCTGAATAATATTCCATTGTGTGGAGAGACCCCGCTTTATTCATCCGTCCATCCGCTGATGGCCTTCTGGGCTGTTTCCCCTTTTCGGCTATTGTGAATAATGCTGCAGTGAACATTCGTGTTCAGTTTCTGTGTGGGCACATGTTTTCATTTCTCTTGGGTATAGACCTAGGAGTGGAATTACTGGGTGATACGGTAACTCTGTATTTAACCTTTTGAGGAACTGTCAGACTTTTCCACAGTGACTGCACCATTTTATGTTCCCACCGCAATGGAGGAGGTTTCCAGTGTCTCTATAACCTCATCAACACTTGTTATCTGTCTTTGATCGTAGAGTCCTAGTGGGTGTGGAGTGGTATTGCATCGTGGTTTTGGTTTGCGTCTCCCTGATGGCAAATGACGTTGAGCATCTTTTCATGTGCTGCTTGGCCGTTTGCAGCTCTTTGGAGAAATGTCTATTCGAGTCATTTGCCCATCTTTTAATTGGTTTATTTTTCTTTTTATTATTGAGTTATAAGATTCTTTGTTCCGGCATACAAGAACAGAAGTTAGTACCTTACAGTTCTGGAGGCTGGCAGCCTGAATGCAGGGTGTCCGCAGGGCCACGCTCTCTCCGAAGGCTCTAGGGGAAGATCCTTTCTTGTCTTTCCGGGCTCCTGGTCGCCCCAGGCACTCCTTGACGGGCAGATGCATCTTCACGTGGCCATCTCTCCCCTGCCTTGGAAGAGTCTTTGTGTAGTCTAGATCAAATCCCTTATTGATACGGGATTCGCAAGTATTTTCTCCAATTCTCCGGGTTGTCTTTTCACCTTGATGTTGTTTGTTGAAGCACAAAAGTTTTGAATTTGATAACATTCCATTTGCCCATTTTATCTTTTGTTGCTTGTATTTTTGATGTCATATCTAAGAGGGCTTTGTTTAACTCAAGATTGCAAGGATTTACTTCTAGATTTTCTTCTAAGAGTTTTAAAGTTTTAGCTCTTACACATAGGTCTGTGTTCCATTTTGAGTTAATTTTTGTGTCTGGCGTGTGGAAGGGGTTCAGCTTCATTCCCTTGCATGTGGAGATCCAGTTGCCCCAGCATCATTTGATGGAAAGACTATTCTTTCCCCCATTGAATTGTCTCAGCACCTTTGTCAAAAATCAAGACTGTAATGTAAGGCTTTATTTCTGGACTCTCAGTTCTGTTCCACTGATTTAAATATGTCTGTCCTTATGCCAGTACCATTCTGCCTTGACTGCTGTAGCTTTGTAGTAAGTTTTGAAATGGAAAAATGTGAATCTTTCTTTGTTCTTCTTTTTCAAGATTGTTTTATTTCTTGGTCCCTTGAATTTCCATATGAATTTTAGGATCAGCTTTTCAATTTCTGAAAAAAAAGCCAGCTAAGATTTTGAGAGGGATTATATTGAGTCCGTAGATCATTTGGGGAGTGTCTTAGTCATCTAGTGCTGCTGTAACAAAAATACCACAAGTGAATGGCTTTAACAAACAGAAGTTTATTCTCTCACAGTCTACAAGGCTAGAAGTCCAAATTCAGGGTGTCAACTCCAAGGGGAGGCTTTCTCTTGTCGGCTCTGGAGGAAGGTCCTTGTCATCAATCTTCCCCTGGACTAGGAGCTTCTCTGTGCAGGATCCCAAAGTCCAAAGGACACACTTTTCTCTGACACTGCTTTCTTGGTGATATGAGGTCCCCTGCTTTCCGCTCTCTTCCCTTTCCTTTTATCTCTTGTAAGATAAAAGGTGGTATAGGCCACACCCCAGGGAAACTGCCTTTCACATTAGATCAGGGATGTGACCTTAGTAGTAAGGGTGTTACGTCCCACCCTAATCCTCTTTAACATAATCCAGTTTTTCCTCATTAACCACAAGCAGAGATTAGGATTTACAACACATAGGAAAATTACAATTACAAAATGAAGAACAACCATACAATACTGGGAATCATGGCCTAATCAAGTTGACACATTTTTAGGGGATACAATTCAATCCATGACAGGGAGTATTGCCATCTTAACGATATTAAGTCTTCTGATCCATGAATATGGGATGTTTTTCTATTTATTTAGGTCTTTAGTTTCTTTCAAAAATGATTTGTAGTTTTTAAAGTATGAGTTTTGTCCATCTTTTGTTAGATTTCTTTCTGAGTATTTTATTCTTTTTGATGCTATTATAAATAGAATTTTTTCTTAATGTTATTTTTTAATTGTTCATAATATCTGAGTTATATACCCTCTTTTCCATTCCTAATATGTTTTATTTGTGCTGTCTATTTTATTTTAATTTTTGTCCATTATTTTTGACTCTTAAACAACTAACTTTTGATTTCATTGATCCGTTGTTTTTTTGTTTTGTTTTGTTTTGGCCTTTCTTTCTATTTCTTTGGACTTAGTTTTTGTCTGTTTCTTCCTTTATAATTTATTGAAATGACTGCTTGGCTTGTTGTCTTTGCCTTTCTTCCCTACCGTGAGCGTTCAAAACGACGCGTTTGCTTCTAAGTGCTGCTTTGGCTGTTTCCCGTACATTTTGAAATGTACAATTGTTTTTCAACATTCAGTTCTAAGTATCTTCCAAATTCCATTCTGATTTCTTTTTTTGACCCATGAGTTCTTTGGAAGTCTGTTTCTTAATTTCCAGAGTCTGGTGTTTTTGCAGTTAATTTCTAATTCAGTATACAATGTGTTAGAAAGTGCCCGTTTGCTGTGCATCCATACCTCGGCCCACGCTCTTTACTGGCCAGGAGACAGAGCTGGGCAAAGTCTGCAGTCCAAGGACAGAATACAGGAGAGCAAACAGGGAGACAGAGGTAGGACAGCAAAAAAGCTAGAGAGAAATAAGCCAAAGGGAAGTGTGTGTGTGTGTGTGTGGGGGGTTCCATAAAGAGCTGTTCACACCCAAAGTCTCCAGTCCTCTTTCCACGCTGACCCCCACTGCTGCAACCATCCCACTCACAGGCAAGCCCCTGCCCCAACCAAACCTCCATTTCTGCACCTGTAAAACCGGGGTGGTCATAGAACCCCCTCTCTACAGGGCACTGGGTAGACAGCGTGAGGAAGTCTGTCAAAGAGCTTTGCACACTGCCAAGCACCTCAGCAGCAGGACCGGTGGCAGTGCCATTAGATTCCAGAGTTTGCCTTCTTGTTCCACCTACAGGAGTGGTGTCACTGCTATGTTTAGTAAAAAGACTTGGGAATTGGGAAAATTGATCACTTTTGCATTGTAGGTCAGGGGCCACCATGGGCCAAATCCACCATGCACAGACAGCCTGTCTTTGTAAACAAAGTGCTGTTGGAGCGTGGCTGCTTTCCTGCTCCGGCTGTAACATTGAATACTTGTAGTTGCAACAGAGACCATATGGCCCACAGCCTAAAATATTTAGTATCTGGCCCTTTATAGCAAAAGTTTGCCAATGTCTGTGTTAGACCAGTAAGTCGTTCATTGAAAGTGATGGCCGCAGCCTGTCCGTGCAGTCCTACCTCTTTGCCATCCCTCTGGCATCGGAGTTTGTTTTCCTCTCATTGGTTGCACATTCGCAAAGACACAGCTGTCCGTGGGCTGCGTGGATCGCTAGAGTTAAAGCATTAATTCAGTGTGCGTGTTCTGTGCAGGTCTGTGTACACCAATGGCGCCCACTTTGGAAGGAAGGGATGACGCTCTGCTGCCGGACTTCCCCAAGGGGCCCCTCCAGGCCTACCGAGCCCGAGCGTCCTTCAGCTGGAAGGAGCTGCTGCTCTTCTTGGAAGGCGAGGAGACGGTCCGCTTTAAGGTGGGATGTGCATGGCTGTGCAGCACTTGTCTTCCTGTTCTGCAGGATTCGGTTTAAAATCAAGTAAAGGAATGCTTGAGTTTATAATGTGTAAACCCGTTGTCTTAGTCATATAGTGCTGCTCTAACAGAAATACCACAGGTGGATGGCTTTTAACAGAGAAATTTATTCTCTCATAGTCTAGTAGGCTACTAGTCCAAATTCAAGGCGTCAGCTCCAGGGGAAGGCTTTCTCTCTCTGTCGTCTCTGGAGGAAGGTCCTTGTAACGCATCAATCATTCCTTGAACTAGGAGCTTCTCCGCACGGGGATCCTGTGTCCAAAGGAAGCGCTCTGCTCCCAGCACTGCTTTCTTGGTGGTATGAGGCCCCCCACTCTCTGCTTGCTTCCCTTTTCTTTTATCTCTTGTAAGATGAAAGGTGGTGCAGGCCACACCCCAGGAAACTCCCTTTACATTGGATCAGGGATGTGACCTTAATAAGGGTGTTACATTCCACCCTAATCCTCTTTAACATGAAATTACAACCACAAAATGGAGTACAACCACACAATACTGGGAATCACGGCCCAGCCAAATTGATGCACATGTTTTTGGGGGGACATAACTCAATCCATGACACCCGTCTAATTTATTGTGAGGTAGCCACGGCGAGGCACACAGGCAAGACCACAAGATGTTCAGTTGGGATCAGAGAATCAGGACAATACAGGAACACATGGCTGTGTTCCTCTAGTGATCCACACAGCCCACAGACAAATGCTTAGTGCTCAAATCTTTAAACGCCAGGCATCTACCTCTAACTAGTGGTCTCGGGAGGGAAGCTTAACCTGCAGCTTGTTCTCGGCGGAGATCCTTTGTAACTAGGGTCCAGGGTCGGCAGTGGTGGACAGAATCTCAGCCCAGAGTCTCAGTTTTGGGACAGAGTCAGCTTCTGAAGGGAGCTTCCATCTCTGCCTTCTCTCAGTGAATGTGCCGAAGTCCAGGGTTTATATGCGATTTTCCTCACCTTGCCTTCGCACAATAAGGGCCAGATGATGTCATGCTTAACCAAGACGAGGGTGTTACATTGTTTCTACTTCTAAATTAAGAAAATTTCTATTTTTAATGTCACATTCCAAAAACCAAACCCGTTCCTGTCGAGTCAATTCCAATTCATTGTGACCCTATAGGACAGGGTAGAGCTGCCCCATAGGGTTTCCAAGGAACGGCTGGTGGATTTGAATTGCTGACCTTTCGGTTAGCAGCCGAGCTCTTAACCACTGCACCACCAGGGCTCCTCCAACGGGTTCAAACCCCGAAAGCCCTATGGAGCAGTTCTGTTCTGCTCACATGGGGTTGCCACGAGTCGGAACTGACCTGACAGAGACAGACAACAACAACGTGGCTCTTAACACTGTATGACCTCCGTGGCCCTCGTCCCCTTCTCGGTCAGGTGAGCTCGTCCTGGAGGCTTGCAGATAGTCATACAAAGAGCCCAGCACCGGCCCTTCTCCCTTGACACCTCTGGGCAAGCGCAGTGGCGGGCACAAAGCAGGCCCTTGGGGAATTACAGGGACAAGACAGATTGTTTAAGCCCCTGAGCCTCCAGCCCCTCTCCTTCACTGGGGAATGCCTTCCGTCTCCGTCCTGTGTCTCTGCGTCAGCCGTGTGTCTGGTGTGGCGGGTGGCCTCGGAGAGGAGCCGTGTGGGTGGGAGCAGTTAGATTCCCTACTGTGCCTCCCGTCAGCCTCTCCGTCTCCACGTTTATAGAGAACAGTCTTCTCAGCCCTCGAGAATGACCCGCTCTTTGCCCAGCGCGGCAGAGCCGACCTGCCTCTGGAGAGGTACCGCGAGCTGACCTTCCTGCGTTGCAAGCGGGTCTTCGAGTACAACTTCCTGAGTGCAGAGGAGATGCTGCAGATGCCCCAGAAAGTCTCGGCGCTCGTCAACTGCCTGGGCATGTACGACTGGTCTTTAGCTGTCAAGTACTCTCTACACATGCTGGTGAGTGGGCAGCACGGGGGAGCAAGAGACGCGCGTGGGAAAGGACGTGTGCTTGCACACTTCCCCGTGCAGCTCACGCAGCTGCCGTCCTCTGTCGCAGGGCCAGGCAGGGCAGAAGAGGTGTAAAAGCTCAGATGGCTGCTTACGTAAAGAAAACACAGCATGTGGGATTTACGCAGTGGCCTTGCTGGTGGTCACCGTTACTATTTGCAGGCTTTTAAATTTTTGTGGGGTGTCTTAATCTCCGAGTGTTGCTGGAACAGAAACATCCCAAGTGGGTGACCTTGAAGAATAGGAATTTATTGTCTTACAGTTCTGGAGGCTCCAGGTCCAAATCAGGGTCTCGGCCGTGCCCACCCCTTCTGTGGCCTCTCTCCTGGTTTCTGGTGGTTGCTGGCCATCCTGGCTTCCTTGACTTGTAGATGGTCTTCACGTGGCGTCTGTCTCCGCCTGTGTGTGTGTGTCTGTGTCTGGTCTGCTCTTCTTATAACCAGAAATGATTAGGTTTAGGACCCAGCCCACTCCAGCATGACCTCATTAACTTAACAAAGAAAACCTCTATTTCCAGAAAGGGTCACGCTTCTAGGTACAGGGGTTAGGACTTCAACATGTGTTCTTGAGGATACAGTTCAGTCCATAACATGGGGATTTATGCATTTTGGCAGTGTTTGTCTAAAGAGTTTTTTTTTGTTTTTTTTTAAATATGGGAAACAAAAGCAGAGTGTGTGGCAGAGAGTGGGGGTGTTACAAGAAGTCCAGTTTTTTCCAGCCACGTGTGCAGCGTGCACACGTGAGTCCTCAAATCACGCCCGGCGCTGTGGAAATGAAAGCCTCAGTAGAAGAGGAACTTTGAGGCTTCTCTTTTTCTCTCTACCAAAAAAGAAAAAAAAAAAACAAGTGGGAAAGGAGTAGGTGGGAGGGGAGAGCCATGTTCTTCTTCCCTCGTCTGGGCTGGTGGCGCAGACCAGGGAGCAGGTGGCGTGGCTCGTCACAGCCGGGACCCCTCTGGGTGTAGTTCTGTGGAGCAGGGGGCTCACCGTGCTCGTCACACCCTCCCCTCTTCCTCTCCTTCCCCCTCCCGCCCGGTCTCCCTGCTGTTCACAGACCCTGAGGATTGCTTTCTAGCATCTTATGTCCATAGCAGTTCTCTTTCACTTGTATAAGCTGCTAGGGACAGGGAGCCAGGCCTCAGCGCCAACTGAACCCCAGGCCCCGGCGGCCGCTTATCGGCGGGATCACGGCCTGGGGTTCGGTGTCGGTACTTCTGGTGAGCCTCTGGGAGCCTCGTTTCTCACCCGTGAAGAGGCACAGGGTGAGGGCCAGTGTGAGGCAGCCTTAGAATGTTTCCCAAACCGTGATGTTCCAGAGTGGCAGTACTCTTGTTTTATTTTTATTGTCTTATAATTTATTTTATCGTATTCGGTTGTTATTGAGTATATACACAGCAGAACATCTACCAGTCCGACAGTTCCTACACGTACGATTCAGGGACACTGATGACATTCTTTGAGCTGGGCAGCCATTCTCACCCACCTTTTCTGAGTTGTTCCCCCATTAACATCAACTCACTGCCCCCTACGTTTCCGTCTAATGTTTGGATTTGCTCTTGTCACTTTGGTCCTGTGTAGATAGTTCTTTAAAAGAGCACATTGCTCAAGGCTGACATTCTTTACTAGTTAAGCTAGAGTATTGTTTGGTTTTAGGAAGACTTCAGGGGATATTCTTGGTTTAAGGTTTAAAGATTATCTCAGGGACATAGTTTCAGGGGTTCACCCACCCTCTATGGCCCCAGAAAGTCTAGAGTCTGAGAATTTGAAATTCTGTTCTGCATTTCCCCTCTTTTGATCAGGATTCTCCTGTAGAATCTTCGATCAAAATGTTCAGTTCTGGTAGCCGGGCACCATCCAGTTCTTCTGGTCTCATGACAAAGGAGGCAGTTGTTCATGGAGGCAGTTAGCACACCTGCCACATCCTCCTCCTGTTCCTGACTCTCCTTCTTCCTCTGTTGTTCCAGGCGAATAGAGACCAATTGTTGTGCCTTGGACGGCCGCAGTGCTCTTATTATTGTCCACCGGGGTTTTCTACTTCCGAAAACTCAGCCACTGAAAACCCCACAGAGCACAGGCCCAGTCCGCACGCGCGGGGTCGCCGTGAGTCTGCGTCGGCTTGGCGGCACCTGGTTCGTTTTCTTCTTTGAGTGTTTACCTGGTACTGTTGTGTTTTCAGATTTTCTCCTCAGCCATCTACAGCTTGGGCTCTGAAAGACACTTCAAGTACATCGCGAAGATCTTCAGCATGGAGGCGAGTTCACGTTGGTGGCGCACCGGGAAGCTTGTCCTCGTGCCTGCTGTCTTAGAGATCTGTGCAGAAGAGGTCCTGGGAGGCCATGTCTGTCATATTTAATGGCATTCTTAGGCCTCTCAGCAAATAGCAGACAGACTGTTCTTTGCCAAACGGGTGTGTTGAATTCCTAGAGTTACATGAAGTTAGCTTTTCCTATCAGAACTAAAAGTCTCTGGGTGGCACAGACGGTTTGCGCTCGACTACTAACATAAAGGTCGGTTTGAACCCACCCAGCAGCACCATGAAGAAAGGCCTGGCGATCTGCTCCCATAAAGATGACAGCTAAGAATACCCTATGGAGCAGTTCTGCTGTAACCCAGGGGGTTGCCATGAGCTAGAATCACCTTGACAGCAATGGGTTGAGTGTTTTGGTTTTTATGAAACCCAAAAACTACCCACTGCCATTGAGCTGATTCTGACTCACAGCGACCCCATAGGGTTTCCAAGGCTGTAAAGCTCTATGGAAGCAGACTGCCACATCTTTCTCCCGAGGAGCCGTTGGGGGTTTTGAACCACCAATCTTTCAGTTAGCGGTCGATCGTTTTAACCACTGCACCACCAGAGCGCCTACCTAAAGCTCTCCATTTTCTTGTACTGGCTTGGAGCAGTCCTGCCACCAGGGAGCTACAAGGCTGGTGTCACTCGGTGTGACCCTGTTGCCACATGGGGGAAGGTGTGGTGTCCGCACAGCCCAGAGACTCCATCCATCACAGCAGGTTCAATAGGCAGATGGAGACTGGGTGTCAGGTCTGTGGCTTAGTCCGTAAGGGAAAGGTGAGGGGTCCCGCAGAGCCAGGCCGCCCTCACGTCACCGTGTGCTCTGCTGTTTAGATCTTCGGATGCTTTGCTCTGACTGAGCTGAGTCACGGCAGTAACACCAAGGCCATCCGGACGACGGCGCACTATGACCCCAGCTCCGAGGTAGGTGTGGCCTCCTGGAGCCTCTCGGTTCAGAGCATTGAGACCTAGGGTTGTCACGGATAAGGGCGTCATCAGCCTGAGACGCTGTCTGCACACGTGTGCGTGTAAAGTGCGCGGTATGATTCGTCACGGGAGACAGGAGTGTGGGAGACCACGGCTGTGAGAGACCAACCTGCCCGTGAACTTTATGGCAGAATTCATCATGGTTTGGGTCTGTGTGTAATTGGAGTGCTGTGAGGAAGCCAGGAGTTCATACAACATGCTTCTTTATGTGGAGTCCCTGGGGGGTGCAAACGATTCATGCTCTATGCTGCTAACTGAAAGGTTGGAGGTTCAAGTCCACCCAGAGGCGCCTTGGAAGGAAGGCCTAGTGATCTACTTCTGAAACATCAGCCGTTGAAAATCCTCTGGAGCACAGTTCTACTCTGACACACATGCATGGGGGCGCCGTGAGTCAGGGTCGACTCCACCACAGCTGTTTTTTTCCCGTGTCTTTGTTTACCAGGCAGCCCAGTGGTGCTGGATTTGCAAACAGTTTGAATTTTCACGCTGTGTAAATTAAACAGGCAAGGAAGCAGTCTCCTGGGCCCTGGCCCTCCTAGCCGCCCCTCAGCCTCTCTGCCTCCTGCCGGGCTCCTCAGCGAGCGGCCTGCCTTCCCACTGCTGCCTCCTGCTGGGCTCCTCAGAGCCTCTCTGCTGGCCGGGCCCGAGACCTGTGGGCAGCCTGCACCTGGTGGCCTCTCAGCGGCATTTGCGCTGTGGCCTCTGCCTGGGGCGTTCATTCAGCGTGACTTGTGGGGCACCTCCTGTGAGCAGGTGCCGTCCTGGCCCCGAGAGCACCAGGGATAAGTGCACGGTGTCCTCGCCGTCGGGCGCGCGGTACAGTGCGGGAGACAGGCGTGAACGGCTGGTTTCGTGATTTAGTGGGTGTGTTATGTAAGGAGCCGTGGTGGCGCAGTGTTCAAGCACTCTGCTGCTAAGGTCGGCAGTTGGAACCCCACCAGCTAATCCTCAGGAGAAAGATGTGGCAGTCTGCTTCCATAAAGATCATAGCCTTGGAAACCCTATGGGCAGTTCTGCTCTGTCCTACAGGGTTGCTATGAGTTAGAATCGACTCAGTGGCAGTGGGTTTGGTTTTTTTGGTTTTTGTGGCACTCGGCTGCTATCTGAAATTTCGGCTGTTTGAACCCACCAGCTGCTCCATGGGGGAAAAGACCTGGCGATCTGCTTCCCTTCAGCCAAATATTAGACAGGCCCATGAAACAAAACGAGACTAAATGGGCACACCAGCCCAGGGGCAAGGACGAGAAGACTGGAGAGGACAGGAAAGCTGGTAATGGGGAGCCCAAGGTGGAGAAGGAGAGAGTGTTGACATGTGGAATTGGCAACCAATGTCACAAAGCAATACGTGTACTAATTGTTTAATAAGAAACTGATTTCTCTGTAAACTTTCATTTAAAGAACAACAACAACAAAAAAAGATTACAGCCTTGGAAACCCTATGGGGCAGCTCTCCTCTGTCCTGTGGGGTCACTATGAGTCGAAACTGACTGGACAGCACACAACAAGCACAACATATTATGTAGGGAAGTGAGGATGGTGTCTTGGTCTGCTGGGACTGCCGTAACACACTTCCACGGAGCGGGTGGCTTATAAGGACGGGAATTGATTGTCTCAGTTCTAGAGGCTGGGAGTCCACATCAGGGCTCAGCTGAGTCATGCCTTCTCTGTTGGCTCTGGGGGAAGATCCTTCCTCGTCTCTTCCAGCTTCTCTTGTTTTTAGTTGCTGTCGAGCTGGCTCCCTCTTAGGTGACCTTATGTACCGCAATACAGAACACTGCCTGATCCTGCATCATCGCTGGGATGTTTGAGTCCATTGTTGCAGCCACTGTGTCGGCCCATCTCCTCAAGGGTCTCCCCCGTTTTCACTGGCCCCCTCTACTTCACCCGCCTTGATGTCCTTTCTAGCAATTGGTCTTTCCTGATGACGTGTCCAAGGCATATTCCTGGGTCGTATAACTTAAAGAAGAAGGTTTGCCTAGGCAATAAGGATTATCATTGCAAATAATGAACCACTTACTGATGAAGGTCAAGGACTACAGCCTTCAGTATGGATTACACCTGAACGTGAAGAAAACAAAAGTCCTCATAACTGAACCGACAAACATCATCAAAAAGGGTGCAGAAGTTGAAATTGCCAAGGGTTTCATTCTTCTTGGATCCACGGTCAACACCCATGGAAGCAGCAGTCAAGAAGTTAAATGACGCATTGCATTGGGTGAATCTGCTGCAAAAGACCTCTTTAAAGTGTTAAAAAGCAAAGGTGTCACTTTGAGAACTAAGGTGCACCTGACTCAAGCCTTGATATTTTCAGTCGCCTCATATGCATGCCGAAGCTGGACAATGAGTAAGGAAGACCGAAGAAGAATTGACGCCTTTGAATTACGGTGTTGGTGAAGAATAGTGAACATACATACCATGAACCACCAGAAGAACAAACAAATCTGTCTCGGAAGAAGTACAACCAGAATGCTCCTTAGTAGTGAGGATGGCGAGACTTTGGCTCGCTTACTTTGGACACGTCATCAGGAAGACCAGTCACTAGAAAAGGACACCCTGTTTGGTAAAGTAGAGGGTCAGCAAAAACGAGGGAACCGCCCGTGAGATGGACAGTGGACGCAGATACTGGACTGAGATACACCAACGGTGATGAGGATGACGCGGACCGGGCAGTGTTCCGTTCTTTTGTACGTGGGTCGCTGTGCGTCGGGCCAACTTGATACAACTAACAACAACAACGAGACCTTGGATGGCGCAAATGGTTTCCGCTCAGCTATTAACCGAAAGGTTGGCGCTTGGGATCCATCCAGCAGCGTCGAAGAAGAAAGGCCTAGTGATCTACTTCTGTAAAGATTACAGCCACTGAAAACCCCGTGGAGTGCAGTTATACTGTGATACAAGTGGGGTCCCCATGAGTCGGAATCAACCCGACAGGAATGGGCTTCATGCTGTACGAGACATCAAATGTTTCGTCTTTGCTCTTACCTCAAAGACTGTGACCAGAGAAAATTTAATCAAAGAGAAAAGTTCTGTGTGTGTTTCAGTTGCTAACACTACCTTCTTTCCCTGTACAGGAATTCATCATACATTCCCCTGACTTCGAAGCGTCCAAATTTTGGGTTGGCAACATGGGGAAGACAGCTACTCATGCGGTGGTGTTTGCTCAGCTGCACACGCCAGGGGGCCAGTGCCACGGGCTGCATGCCTTTATCGTGCAGGTAGGAGGGGCTCAGAGACGAGAGGGGTTCTCAGCGCCCTGGGACGGGGGCTCAGAGACGAGAAGGGTCCTCAGCGCCCTGGGACGGGGGCTCAGAGACGAGAGGGGTCCTCAGCGCCCTGGGACGGGGGCTCAGAGACAAGAGGGGTCCTCAGCGCCCTGGGATGGGGCTCAGAGACAAGAGGGGTCCTCAGCGCCCTGGGATGGGGCTCAGAGATGAGAGGGGTCCTCAGCGCCCTGGGATGGGGCTCAGAGACGAGAGGAGTCCTCAGCGCCCTGGGATAGGGGCTCAGAGATGAGAGGGGTCCTCAGCGCCCTGGGATGGGGCTCGGAGATGAGAGGGGTCCTCAGCGCCCTGGGATGGGGGCTCAGAGAC